TACTGTCTAGAACCCCAACCTCAACCCTACAATATCCGAACCCTAGCCCCACAATGTCCAAAACCCTAAACTCCATTATCCGGAAAACCCCAACCCTAATCCCCACCTGTCTAGAACACCCTAACCCCCACCGTCCACAACCCTCTACGCTAACCACAAACCCACACTCGCTAAATGAAACAACACAACAACAAATCCCCATTGGCCAAAACAAACCAACACCAACACACAAACATTTACTATCAAAGACACCTATACTAATAAACAAAACCTTCGATGTCCGATAAGCAACCACTATCAATAAACCACAAGCAACACAAAATATAACATTAATGTAAACAAAAAATGATCAATCGTTACTTGAAAATGTCACTACATATACTCGGTGCTTACCCATACCACTTAGAAAATAATAAAATAGAGTATTTAAACCTATGTGTGTCCTAAGTTGTAACATATGAATAAGGGTATTTAAACCAATGTGTACCAAAAGAAGTTGTTACCTACATAAGAAAAACAACTAATATGTTCTCCAAAATTAATGTATATAGCACCGAGTATTCGGTTTATTTGACGGTTCGTCGCTAACTTGATTCCTTCCTTTTTTATTACGTTAATCAAATTAAAATAAAATATTAGGGAATATAACACATAATTAAATTTTAAAAGCAAACGATCATTCATTACCTTATTCATGTAAGAAGTCATTTCAACCACCTTTGAGCTACCTTTAACATAACTATCGCTTCTTTTAGCAGGGACCTAATCTTCTACCGTCTATACTACCTCTTCTATCAATACCATCTCTATTTCCACCATTTTGCATCCTTAAACTTTCACTAATATTTTTTTTCCACTATATTGAAGGTTGTTTGAATTACCACCAATAATATTACCACGTTTATTACCACAAGCTCCTCTCTTACCGCACTTACCTCTTTTATCGATAACACATCTATTTACTCCATCTTGAAGGCTACCATCTTCACCACCAGGTGACTCTCTTACCACCTCTACCTCTACTTTCACAACTAATTCTTCTAATCTAATTCAACAACAAACAAGCAATTAATGTCCATAAAAATACAAACCAAAACTATATAGCAATAAAAGATAAAAAAATTTGAAAAAAAAAAAGCATGAGTCGCTCGTTGTAATTACTCAACAGTACCTCCTTGGCAAGTTCTTGAGTTATGATCAAACTATATATATATATACTACCTGTAACACTCGTTTGACCTCTTCTTCATAGTACTTAGAGGCTTATTCTCTTTCTCTTTTTTTTTTTTTTGTTCTTCTATTCTTTCTTGCTTTACCAATACCCTTCAGGACAAATAGCAAAACAACAAGTTCTCATTCTTTAGGTTCGAGGTTTTTTTCGGGCAAAAGGTGAACCACTTCAAAATAAGTCTTGATAAAATTAAAGATTGTGTAACAACCATCATAGTAATCTTTTAAATCACCTCTTTTTGTGCGATAAACAAGTTGTTACAAGGCTATATGGGATTCATCACAAGAACATTTAGATATTTTAAAGTTAACACATATCGTCCTTGAACCATCATAAACTTGATGCTCATCTACATTAGTTGGTTTATTCTCGGATTCCTCACCTTGTCGACTTCTTTATCAAGAACCTCCCTCACAAATAAAGTAGTCTTGGTCTACCGGAATGTTTATTTCATAAATCTAACATAGAGCCTTGGCATTATCTTCATCTTAATCTTCTTCAACAAATGACTATAAACAAGCCTCTAAATTTTCCAATCCAAGTAACTAAAATATTCGATCTTATTATTGGTAACATTTTCATTCTTCGTATTCTTATCAAATCGATGCCTTAACCATTTTTCAACATGTAATTTTTACAACCACGTAGTAGCCTCAAAATATACAACTCCAATAGACTTTATATGGTTTTTAAATTGAAAGGCGAGAATATGCCTTACTAGCCCCTAGAAACTCTTCTTCGTGTCGCAATCCATAAACCCTCTTTTTTTTAAGTTGCCATACATATGTTTGGCACAATGTCCGTGAGTTGTTTGGGGAAAAACCTTCTTCAAACTATCCGAAAAATATTACAAAAGTTAGTATAGTTGAAATTAGTATTTGCAATATTTTTTAAGACAAAATCAATAAGAAAGTATAAGGTACATATAGTATGTGCTCGTACTTTTTTCCTATCGGACATTAAACATAAAGCCTTCTCTTGAATTCCTAACATTATACAATCATATAAAGTTGAGAAAAAACATTCCAATTGTTATTATTATCCTTTACTCGGATAACAACATAAGTCAATAGTGATAAATCATTATCCGCATAAAAACACACATACTGCAAGTAGAATTCCTCTAAATAGATTCTTTAGATGACAATCATCTATTCCTATAAATCTTTTACACCCACCTAAGAAGTCATCTTTCATTGCTTTCAAGTAAATAAATATCCTATTAAATTTTTAGTGATATAGCTTTCGAATTAAAATCAAGATCGTAACCTATATAAACAATTGAATCAAGATTATTCTGTCTTAATAAATCAACATATTTAGGCAACAACTTATATGCTTCATCATGACTCTCCTCAACGACTTGCTTTGCCTTGTATCTTGCCCTCTATAACTATATTGGCCTAGGTTGTAATCCTTAATTTTTTTCTAATATTGCCTTTAGTCGTTGCGTTAGATATTTTAGGATCGACATTAATATAAGGTAGTGACCTATTAGCAATCCATATTGGAGCCTTGTTGGTCAATGGTCTTATGCATCTATGTTTTTTTCTTCAATGTTTTCACGATAAAAGTCCTCTCATTCAGTAATAAAGATGTATAAATACTCCAATTACAACCCTCACTCGTTACATTTTACACCAATTTTGTCCTTTCCATTCTTTATCTTCTTTAATTCATATTTTTTTTACCTCATACAATTTCAGCATATCCCTAAAGGCATAGACACTCTCAAATATCATACACTCTTTAAAAACTATTTTCCATCTTATTTGAAAGTAAACCTCTTACCTATCATCTTCTTAGTTGGATCAACGATCCATTTTTTTCCTTTTTGATCTCCTTCATCACTTCGTCACTCTCACATATATAATGCTAATTAGATTTATTCTTACTAAATTCCCACTCCTTATCACTCTCATATTCTTTCATCATCTCGACCTTTAATCGCTTCCTTTGTTGAAAAATGCATGTTCATAATCCATTCATTATCTTCTTTATCCCTAAACTCATACTCACCCTTATTTGAGGGCAAGTAATCATCATCGGAACTATCATTACCACTACAATTAACTAACTCATTAAATTTATCTACTTATGGTCCTATTCTATTCTCTTTCACTTGTTTCTTCATTATTGGTCCCATTACCAGACCTCAATCTCTTGACTAACCTTATTTTCTAACATGGTCTTTTTCTTTACGGTCCTTACCATGTTTCCTTGTCTATCTATATTAAACTCCTTAATTGTATTTTTTTGATATGTCTTTATCAAGTCTCAAATATATTCATTGTCATTATATAGATTATCCATCACATTCTTCCTCCACTCGCCTACTACATGCTTGTAAATAATTAACAAAACATTGGTCCCCGCTAATCTAACTACCTACTTACTTTATTAACAATACATAAATTATTGTCTAAACCATCATCCCCGCCACTCTCCACATGTAATTCATTAACTAAACCTTGGTCCCCATTAATATGCCTAGCCACTTATTTATTACGATTCGGTGCAACACCCCTATTACCAATAACAACATAATTGTCATCAATTGCATCATACCGCTTAAAAGTATTTGTCATTCATACTTGTCCAACCATCGGCATCATGTTGTGAAAAGTATTTGTAGTTGGCCTCTTTTATTGTAATTGTCGCAAAACTGACCTAGCATTGGGAATGTTATCGGGTTTCTATTGAGATCCTTCTCCACATATAAATGGATAATCTTCTCCTTATCATGGGCAAACACGACTTCAACAATGGACTTGTCATCAATTAGTTCAACTCCATGATCATCTCGAATAGCGAATCCCTTTAAATCAACATCCAATACTTGTTTAAATAGTATGTCGGGGTAGATAAGACAATTCATGAATAAACACTACTTAATGAAGGTTTAATCTCCATTGTGAAAGTATATTTCGTCATTATATGACTTGCATTGAACCATATCAAAAGTTGAAATAAACAAGGGTTCCAATAAACAATCATGTTTTATCTAACAAACTAACGTTAAACAAATTTAAGGTTTTTATGATTTGAGAATTTTTTGGATTACAAATTAAACACACATTAAAACACTTTAATTACAACTAATTTAGGGTTTCTTTTTTATCAATGTTATATGGGTTTCTCTCTTTGAAGAGAGAGACAAACATGAGAGATAAAATGTTATACTTGGAAAATAATGATTTATGTTGAAATGGTATGTGAAGTCTAATTATATATAAGAGGGTATTGTTGTTATTTTCTAGTTTACTGGACTAAAATACATCGTTAAAAAAAATAAAGATGTAAAGTATTTTCGCTACTAAAATATATTGTGTTTTTAGTAATTTATCCAAACGAAAATGAAAACTCCAAACAATATCGGAGTTATAGAAGTAGGTACTCATATGGAGGCCCAAATACCATCAGGCATTTTCTTTTTTAAGCCCAATCTCTAGCAGGAACCGGTGACCCTCACCTCGTCACGTCCGGAGATTGGAAAGACATAGTGCACTCCATCGTACGGCCTCAAGGCAAACACACGCACGCACGACAAACGCCTGTTCCACAGTCCCTACTTGGAAAGATTCCATCAAAAGCAGAGGCAGAGCTCATCTTCATTTCCCACTCTCTGATTATTCACCTATAAGCTCTCTGGTAAATTCTGTGTCAAAAGTAACTTTCTAATTTACTAGTAATTTATTTACTAGGGTTTTGACTGTAAAAATAACTCGAATCCATTTCTCGCAGTTGTTCAGCAAGGTACTGATCGAAGATGGGAGGAGGAGCAGATCATGGACACGGACACGGACCTGAGGGGGCCCATGGTGACTTTAGGGCGAAGGTTTGGAGCATGAGTGGAGGTCCATACTGCAGGCCTAAGCACTGGCGCCGTAACACTGCCATTGCCATGTTCGGCGTCTTCCTCATCTGCATTCCCATCGCCATGAAATCAGCCGAGCTCGAGGTCTCCCTCCTTTCTTTCTCACTCTTGTAATTTTATATTTTCTTTCTGTTTGGTTGCTAAGAAACTGTAGGAATGATTAGACAGTTGAATTCTGGATCTTAGATCTTTAAAATTGTGTAAGAGACGGCGATTTAATTAGAGAGGTGGAGCGTAGGACATTGGAAGGAATTGGATTCTGGAGTCAAAATTGTTGATGGGAGTGTTTGGTTTAGTTTTGTTCAGTTGAGTGAAACCTAAGTTGGCGTATTTGTGCTGGTTTGGTCTAGTTAATCAGTTTAAGGGAGTCTAATCAAGTTGTTTTAATCATTTGATTTCGGTATTTTCTCAATAAACTGATGCTTAGTAAATCATACAGAATTGGTATCTGATATCGGCTATCATTGGGTTTAATTAACTGCTCAACGAGTGTTGATAATCACATGTGAAGGATTAGCTACAATTGATATGCTGGGCAAGGTTTTTTTTTTTTTTTGTTGGGGGGTTGGGCGGGGGTGGGTGGGGGGGTCGGCGGGCTAAGCAGAGGATTCCTTCAATTTACCATATCATTATGCATTTTGTGTGAAGCTCATATGACCTATAGCCATCAGTAATTCCTTTTGTTTCTGCACACAGGCAGTACCTCTTGGCGTCTGCATTAATTGATTTTACCTTTTTACTCATAGAAAAGGAACAAGCAAATTCAGAATCTTGTCAATCACTAGATATATCAATGATTTGCTTAGTGGTTGTTTATTACTAATGTAGCAGAGTCCTTGAATTTTGTGAGATTAGGTATTTCAAATATGTTCATCTGCTGTAAGTCTATGAGATTGTAGTTCCTTCTGTTTCTGTGTGCGGGCCATACCCTATTCGAAGAATACTCTAGTAGTTCTTTTATGCATATTGAAAAGGATTAGCTGTATTGATGGGTAATCTTAAAACCTTTTTCCAATTTGTTGCTGGGCTCCTGCCATCGCCAGCAATGCATCGCAACCCTCCTCCCCTAGCTTTAGAAAAACCCTTTCACTTTCTCTGCTAATTGTCCTCAAAAGTCCTTCAGCAACTGCCACTGTAACTATTTTTGCCACTCCATTTTCCACCATCCTCAACCCTTGCATGTGTTACAAAATGCTGTTGCTCCAACCTCCAATGGCCCTTCTTGTTAATTACCGAGGTTCAAATTGATAATGTCTCACTTGTTTCTAATATGAATGGCATAGATGATCATTTCAGCTTTCTCAAGTCAAATGTGTCTCTTCTTGAATTTTTGGTGGTTAGGACATTATTGTCTAATTCACATATCAATATAAACACTGTTCTAACAAAGGAATGTATAAATTTCTTTTATATCAAAGGAAAAATATTTTTAATGATTAAAGCTCTGTTTAGTTGGGTCTAGGACTCTTTTGGAGTTGAGCGTTTGGTGATATCTCTACCAAGCCATTCTGTTTGTCTCGCGCTTGTATAGCCAAGGTGTTTAACTGTTTAAGTGATCAAATTTTAGCTATTGCATTGTTCCTAATTTAACCATCATAACATCCAGTTTTATCGTCTAAGTTTCTCTTTATACATTTAGAAATAGCCCATAGATATTTCCTGAGCTATTTTTTGAACTATGTACGTGTTTTTTTAAATGTTAGCAAATGTAATATTCCCAGTCCCTCCTTGGGGGGTCTTCTTGATCTCACTCTTTAAAGATGAGAGGAACTTGGCCCCGAGATCGGCAGTATGAATTGATTGAATGTTGATCCATTCCTGCAAAGCTGTGACTTGTGAGATAGTACAGTGAGATTGGCAAACAGATTTTTTTAATTGATCCTCTGATGGATTGCAACCTTGATTAGGTTGAAAGGAACTACTCGATAATGGAGGTTCTGGTATAGGCTGAAATGGAATGGTAGGCTATTCTTGGGTTTCTCCTGAGAGACTGCAACAAGACTGTTATGGAGCTCTCTCTGTATCAGATAGACACGATGCTGATGAATTTTGCTGTGATGGAACTTTTGTTTTTCCTCTGGGAAAATATTCGTTCACTTCATTAACTAACTATATGTTGCATGGAGGAGTATGATATGCGCAATATATGTGGAGCTTTTCTCACACAAGTCCAATTATCCAGTATTAACCAAGCAGAATAGGGAGGGAGCTAAGAAGAGAGCGAATGTTAGCAAGCATCTGCTTGTCTAAATTATGTTTGGTGTTGAAATTCATAATTTGGTTTCTCTTAAATACTAAAAGGATATTTTTATTGCAGCAACGACCACATCATCCTGTTCGCCCAATTCCATCACAGATCTGGTGCAAGAACTTTGGGACCAAAGATTACAATGACGTGCAGTAACTTTGGAGCTCCAATTGCTGTAACTTTCAGCATGGCAAAGCGCCTGTTGTATCTTTTGATTGCAGGTTTGAGTAAATTGAGGCTTTTTCTGGTGATGCTAGAATAAGATTTTAATCATACATCTTAATGATATTGTTAATAAATTACTCTCTGTCCTATTTTCTGCCATCAAGAAAATGTTGAAACTGATGTTTGAAATTTCAATTTTGATGCTATTTTCCTTTCATTTTCATCTGAGTCATGCTATGACTTCAAATTTCCAAGGTTTGACATCGACAATGCAAGAATTAGCAGTAGTGAGATAGTGGTGAGAAAAAACTTATTTGACTTGTGTCTTCGTGTGTGGAAGCTTGTTAAATAGTAACAGTTTCCAGATCGCAGCACAGCCCATCTAGGTACTACTGTGGCTCAGACTTTGAAGCAGGGGTTCCAAGCGCCTCAAGTTAGGTGGTCTGGACTCTTTGTTGTCAAGTGCAGTTCACCTTCTACTTGTGTCGCCCGCAAAATAAAATGTGGAAAAAGAGATGAGAACGACCTTTCCTAGGAATAAAGGAAAACCAAGGGCAAATGAGCAAACGGCATCAGTTTACCGCAACTGGAAATGTGGCCCAAAAAATGTGCTTCCAGACTTCTAGACAATGGAAGAGGTAACGCATTTCAAATGGAAATAAGGAATCAATACCGTTTGATTGGTTAGGAATTACAAGCACTGCTCAGGATTATAAAAGGTGAATTGCTGGAATCATGTTCTCTTCGAGTTTTCACTTCAGGAAGTAATTTCCATCCCTAGCCATCCACGCGATTCTAGTCCCTTTTTAGTGGATTTGTATGAGATGATGAAATCGTGATATTCTCTCCTCCTTGCACAAAGCGAATAAGAGAAGCCTTTTGCTATGACCATTCTTGAGGTGAGGGACGACTTGGGCTGCGAAACTTTGAATTGTTCGCTGTTACAACTTTGGAAACTTATTTGCACTATATTTCAGGAACGCGATGGATTAAAGATGAAAAATAACAGTATGATCGGTGATGTGGTATATCTGGGTCATCCATTTCTTGCTTTTACTTTCATGACTTCGACTAACCATAATTTTGGTAAATTTAGTTTAGTTTTTGTAATTGAATTATATAAACAGAAATGTTTTACTTATTTTATAGCAAAAATAATAAAAAATAAAAAAATTATTGAAGCATGCAAGGACATTGAAGCCATTGAAGATTCTACGTTACCTTTCTGCTTGGCAGCTGAAATTGACTATACGCTTGGGGTTCTCACTGTCTGGAGCGGTCAAACAGTTCCAGCCGCGTTACATAGATCATAGATGATTGGAATTTAAAACAAGTATAAAGGTAAAAACAAATATGCGGAGAAAAGTTTAAGTGGTCATGGAAGATGAAGATAGCATATTCTCGACCTCCTGGGAACAAAATATGTATAATCTAATCGAATGGTTTCTTCCTTCCTACGACATCTCAAGGATTGACACCTTGATATAAAAAAGAAAAAGAAAAAGAAAAGGTATTAACACCCCTTGTACAATTAGAAGAGACAATGGAGATGGATTATTTTATCTTTTACATGGGATCCACAGGATGAAACCTACCCAGGTATACCCAAGCTCTTTTGATTTATGCTTGATTTTATTCTTACAGCAGTACAGCATGAACCTTGAATTTTCAACACTGCTGCGCTCGAAATTAAAGACTCCAACTGAATAGCCCTGGTCCACCCTTTGTTCGAGATGTTGATGCATGAACAAGGATTGGCATTTTGTTTATTTGATAGAAAGGAAAGAAAAATGGAATAAAACAAAATCAGTATCTGCACCATTTAATCAAATAGATATAACATATGGATATTGCTAAATTCAATAACTAAATTGCTATTTGCATCTTTTTTTTATATATATAATTATTAATACATTACTAATAACTATTTATAATACAGATTAGTGGAATGAGTTTCGATAATTTTCTGAAAAAATTAGTAAGAGTATGAATTTGATCAATAAATTTAACAATACCCATAAGATATATATTTAAAAAAAAAAAAAAAAACACGAGACGCCACCCACCTTCCCAAACCCCCCCCCTTCTTCTTTTTTTTGGCGTTTGTATTTTTTAATCCGTCTGAAGAGTCATAGGTCATTTGTTTCTTTTTCAACATTTTTTTTATTTTATCTTTTAAAATTTTCTTTCAACTAGGTATTAAAAGCTGTTTTCCCCCTATTTACTAGCTAATTAACTGAGCTCTTAATGTACTTTTTATGTTTTTTTCTCTTTTGTTGAGATGCTCAGCAATCTCCTTCGCCAATATCCCACATTTTTGGTATGAAAGAGATTGAAAACCAAATTATTTAGTACAACCCTTAAATAACAAAATCAACTAATCTAGGTAATATATATATATATATATACACCAGATTTAAATGGATTCCAAATAAATCATAAATAAAAGAAGTGATCAATATAGAAATAATTTTCTAATTTTACTGTGTAGTGATTTGATTCAATTTTTTTTCTTTGAAAGGAGTTATAAAACATATTTCTTTTAATATATTATTATTGTAATATTTAGTTGGACATCCCAAATATCTGAATCCACGTGGCAGAAATGTACAGAAGACTCGTTCGCTTAAGGCGTTCTATAACCTAACCCGATTCATATATCTGAATCCACGTGCTACCGGCCCCCAGTCACTTAAACTCCAATACATACACTTCTTGCCCGTTATATCACTCGGGCAGCCTACCCTCCGCTCGTCTCGTCATCTGCCCTATTCTAGCACTGCCCGAGACCCCGGGTAGTTGCAGCGTCCCCTTTGCTTTTCAGGTTTAACAGCTTCAAGTGTTACTACTTTCGCAGACATGACCATACCTCAACCAAAAACACTCTAAACAGGAAAACTAAAATTTATATATATATTTTTAAAAAAAATTAGGAAAAAAATATAAAAAGAGAAAGTGAATTGTTTATTAGTAACTATAAATAGACCTCAAGCGTGGACTTGGTTGAATTATTATTATCATTACCACAAGTCTAGTAGCCTGTATTTAAGATGCAGTGAAACTTTTTCTTAGATTTTTCGATTTAGCTAGCAAAGAAAGGTCTGCTTTAATCTAGGGCAAAATAATGTGGAGGGTAGCACGATTTGCGGCGTCGAATTTACGCAGATCGTCGCAGCGGCGGCTTTTTTCCACGGCGGCTATTCCTGGTCCTTGTATTGTTCATAAACGTGGCGCTGATATTCTTCATGATCCTTGGTTCAATAAGGTTAATAAGTTTTAATCTTTTTTTTTTTAACAGTATTTTCAAGACGGTTGCTTCTGTTATTCTGTTACTTCTTGATTTTCTTTTTAGCTTATTAGTTCTTTTTGCTAGAAAAAGAAGAAGATTTGAGTTCTAGTGAATCTGAGATTCTGGTTTAGTTGAATTGTACTATATCTTGTGATACATTTAGGTTTTATGTATAAATTGAACTTATAGATGCTGAAGTCTTGAAAATTTCTTCCCCCCTCTCGAGTTGGATTTGTTTAAGTAACTTCATATCTTCTTGGAATCCTTGACTTGTTTAAGTAACTTCATATCTTCTTGGAATCCTCGACTTTTAAATATATATTTTGTTAGCCATTTTCATACTAATTGCAATTCACAAAATAAAATTTTTATTTTTTTCTCCAATTTTTCATGGTTTATGTTTTGATCTACGAGCAGGATACAGGATTTCCTTTGACTGAAAGAGATCGACTAGGACTGCGTGGCCTGCTTCCACCTCGTGTTATATCCTTCGAGCAACAGTATGATCGTTTTAGTAAGTTTAATTCCCACCTCCTTCATGTTGTTAGTGTCTGCTCTTTGTGCTTAAGTAAAGCTAATGTGGTTATAGAATATTATATATAGACCGAGTTGAAAAGTAAAAATTGATGAGTGGAATAATTAGTTAATCTACAATGAAATTGCCTCCGAGATCTCATAATTCAAAAAATTAACTAAGCAGTTAATTGGTCAGGCTGTTAAATACAAGGTACAGTAAATTTTGCGAACATGTTTATTGTAAGTATTTGATGTCTTCTTTTTTAACTGCTCATGGTTTTACTTCTTCGAAGTCTATTTCTTGTTAGGAATTGAAACTTTGAGTAAAGCCTCTCTGTTTTATTCATTATATAGTTTTGCTGCACTGTCTCTTTAAATGAATGATCTCTCAGCTCGGTGCTTTAACTAACATCAATGAGCTTTTCATTTTTTGGTTGTTAGTGGAATCGTACAGGTCACTTGAGAAGAATACTAAGGGTCAACCTTACGGTGTCGTATCCTTAGCAAAATGGAGGATCTTGAATCGACTGCATGACAGGAATGAGACGTTATACTACCGAGTAAGTTCCACTGCAAATATGTTAAAATATGTTTTAAATTTAACATGCTTGAATTGCCTTTTATGTCTTTTCCTCTCCAGGTCCTCATTGATAATATTAAAGATTTTGCTCCAATTATATACACTCCAACAGTAGGGTTAGTATGCCAAAATTACTCGGGATTGTTTAGACGCCCACGTGGAATGTATTTTAGTGCAAGGGATAAGGGAGAGATGATGTCAATGATCTATAACTGGCCTGGTCAACAGGTACCGCATTAATCTTGTATGAGTGTGGCAAACAACACAGCAATTTCCTTTTGCCTCAATTCCTTGTTGGAGATTTGTTGTTGACATATTAATGAAGGTTGTGTTTTACTCTATTCATGATACCATGTGTTTAAATTGCATTTGTATGGTGCAGGTAGACATGATAGTCCTCACTGATGGCAGCCGTATTCTTGGCCTTGGTGATCTTGGAGTTCAAGGGATAGGAATACCCATTGGAAAACTTGATATGTATGTTGCTGCTGCTGGCATTAATCCACAGAGAGTACGTAACCCTCTTTCCCTCCCAGCTGGTTTTCTGTGTGTGCTTACTAGCTCTGTTTAGATATTTATGAGCTGAACTTCGCTGTTAACTATGCTTGCTTTTATCTACATGTGCAAATATATATTATGAATGACCTGGCAGTATATGCTTGAAGATCTGGAGTCTGAAACTGTGGAAAATATATTTAATTCTACTTATCGTGTTACCACTTGTATTACTGAACCAATTTTAATGGCTAACAGATACTCCCAGTTATGCTAGACATTGGTACTAACAATCAAAAGCTGCTTGAAGATCCTCTTTGTGAGTAAAACATGCACGTTTAGACCATTCCGTCCCTTTGGATGATATTAATTTCTTATTTTTTCAGAGAATGAATGCATTAGATGAAGTGCTTTTTGAAACTGCTCTTTCTAACAAAAGAGCTTATGACTTCTGTTTTCACAGATTTAGGACTTAGACAACCTAGGCTGGAAGGAGAAGAGTATCTATCGATTGTTGATGAGTTCATGGAAGCTGTTCATAGTCGTTGGCCCAAAGCCATTGTACAGGTATTGCCTTTTTCAAGAGTGTCCTTTTTTTCCCTTTTTTTTTTTCTTCAATTGTGTGTTGTCTCATTTATGATGATTGGGAAATCTC